TTCGGGGTGTCCCCTTGTTGTGGTGTTCCCTGATTCAGACCTTCTTGAACAGATTGTGCTGGTGGTTCTGTTGCAACTTCCCCCAGTGGATTCAGACCTTCTTGATTCAGACCTTCTTGGATGCTTTCCCTATTCATAGCTCCTGGAGAAGAATCATCTTGCTCCTTTTCTTTTGCCTTCGGTGTAGATGCAGCAAGATCGACTGTAGATGGTTGTGAATCATCTTCTTTCTGTGTTTGCTCCTCGTTCTCCTCTTTGTTCTGGTCTATCTTTGCCTGTTTGAATATTTCATTAAGTGTTTTATCCAAACTGACATTCATTTCTTCATCATTCTCTTCTTCATCATCTTCACACTGAGATTTTTCTCCTTCTGTGGGCTGAACATATTCATCACAGCTTTCTTTCGCAAGATTCTCCTTGTGTCTGATCAGATTGTCAATTTGGCTTTTGTACTGGTCTTTGATTGCTTTCATCATTGCCTTCATTGATGCTTCAAGCAGTTTGATTGCATTCTCAGCCTGCATAATGGGAGTTTTTATAAGATACCATGGTGGTAATGTGTGTATGGTGTATGGTTAGTTACCATGGTGGTAATACATGGTATTGACAATTATTATCACTATTCTTCATTTTTATAACATGAAACCATATCTTACCACACCTTACCATATGGTAACAAAGTAAAACAGAACAAGAATTATGGTTTCCTCCATTTTTATAACATGAAACCATAGCTTACCACACCTTACCATATGGTAACGAAGTAATACACAACAGGACTTATGTTTTCCTCCATTTTTATAACATGAAACCATAGCTTACCACACCTTACCATATGGTAACAAACTAAAATACAACAGGACTTATGGTTTCCTCCATTTTTATAACATGAAACCATAGCTTACCACACCTTACCATATGGTAACAAACTAAAACATAGAAGGACTTACGGTTAGCATGAATTGGACAACTGTAATATAGATAATTTGTACTTACTTGGTTGACTGTTTTGATATTCTTCAAATCAAAGTTCAGTGATGATGACTGGTCTGGACTTTTGTTTCTTTGTCTTTTCGGTGGCTGATAGACTGGCTCATTCTCCTCTTCCTCATCAGTTGCATCATCAGCCTCATCGTCACTAATGTTGGCAACCTTTTCGATCTCGTTCAACTCTTTTCCATCGTAGTAGCTCTTAATGTTCTCAAAGTTGCTTTCGACATTGAGATCATCATAGTAGCTTACTGTTGGTGTTCGAAGCTGGGTTGAGAATGTCATTTCGTCCAGTTTGTACATGAAGCATACCTTTTTTATGCAGATAGTTGAATTAGTTTTTTCAAAGATTATCATTTATATATAAAATATATGAGTAACAAGGTTGAAATGGCCAAGGGAATGGAGACTTACTGTAAGGAAGTGAAGATTTGCACTGACGTAGAGGTTTGATGATTTCAATCCTTCATTCATGTGTTTGAAGAAGTATTTGCACCAGTTGTAGCTGGTGAAATGTTTCAGTTCATCAGTCTTCAAGTACTCAAGCATGTTGAGTTCAGCCATAGGAGCTGAAGTTGGACACAGCAAGCCTCCGGTGACCAGCAGAAAGAACAATTGTAACCATAAGAGCATAACGTTTGTCTTCTTATTTTCTTTCAGAAACAAATATTTTTGTTTGTAATGTTCTTTTTTGAATCAATTGTATTTATTTCCAAAATACCTTATGGAGATACAAATATTTGTATCTGATGCTTCTATTCAACATATATAGTTTTGATTTTATTTTAAATTTTACCTTTTAGGCGATAATTTTTCCCCCACGTATATTAGCCTTTAGCCATTCATAATTTAATAAAGATAATTATATTATTATTATTATTATTATTATTATTAAATTTTATTAAATAATATTATTAATATGTTTACTTTTACTATACATAAATATGAGTAAAGTAACAATACAAGGACACATTGATACACCGTCTCCTCCCAATAATACAAATATACAATAAGGTCACAATACAAAAATATATACCCTAGCAATTGAACACTTAAAATATATTCCTCCATCTCCATTCTCCGGCATCGCTAGTGCCGCTATCGTTGTCGAATCGAAACCAAATCTCCTCCAAACCATCATTGAACATACACCATGTCATTGCCGGATTGAAGCAGGGGAACTTTAAGGTGGCCGCCTCCTCGCCGATACCTGAACACCATTGCTAACACTAATTTAAGAATCCGAACCATAATATGGAAAAAGGTCAAATCAGAATATGCGAACAAATGCAAATGAAACTTTCTAGCAATTCATTAGCTACCTTTATCAAAATTCCCAGGAGCGACTGATTTTCAGCCGATTAGAAATCCACCTGCATAAAGAAAGCATTCGGTTAAAAACCAAGATAGTGGTAGCACAATTTCTGGGTCAAACCGGGCTAAAACGGTTGACCCTATAACCCTTGACCCACTAGCTCGACCGGGTCCGGGTCAACCCGCGGGTTGCAACCTTGGTTAGAGGGCATAGTGGCGGCAACAATGGGGAAGAATGGAAGTATAGCAAGAGATAGGAGGTGATTGAGGAGATAATAGGGTTAGAGGGTAGCTGGTTTATTATAAACACATTATTTAATTTATTTTTAATAAAATGACCATTTGGTATAATTTATGTTTACGTAGTGTATGTATTTACTTTTAAAGATAATTAAATTTTCTCTATATTGTATTTGTCTCTATATGATGAGATGTTTTGGAGACATTTAGATCTGTTTCTATACATACATTCCATAAATGAATGATATACTTTATAGTAGCAAATAGGAAAATTGTCTCTAAAACTATTAATCTAATTTTAAATCATAAAATATTTAAAAAAAATATTCAGATATAGAGACAAATAATATAACATACCGAAGCAAATAATATATATATGCGTTCAAAGATTAGATGCAGTCAACTAATATAACCACCCGCCGTCCAATTCTGTTAAAATCATCCTACGTGGCAGTCAACTAAATTTTTTGACCGTTAGTTTGATGACATGGCATTTAAAAAATTAAAAAAAATATATTAATTTTAAAATTAAAAAAATTATATCTTCCACTTCTTCATCTTCCTCCCAGTTTGGAGTAAATGTCCAATTTCACTGTTTCCACATTTCGAGCTTGCCTTGGGCCTCAGCTAATGACATTCCTCCTAACACATTTGTAACCTCTATTTTCTTCAAACTCTGATTTGCCTTCCCGCCGGAGTCGATAACAATAGCAATAATGGCTTCCACGCTGCTGATTATCGCCACTTTCTTCCTCGCCGTCGTCGCCGAACAGAGATGCACCACCATAAATTCAAATTGCCCGAAAATTCTCAGCTCTTGCGTCTGAGTCAACCAAATTTTTAACTCTGTTTTTGCTATTGGAAAACAGGGGAGGGTGGAGGCGGATGTGAACAACAATGGGTACTGCATTTACGAGTTGGATATAGCGACCGGGTTAGGGGCCGACGCGTTGGTGCTGTTGCTAGAGAATCAACTCTTGGTGATGGCGATGACTCGATGCGTGCTGTGGTAGAGCTATGAGGCCCAACAAGTCTCGGTCGTTAGCTATTATCCTCTTCATTGAGGAGTTTACCGGCGGACCATCTATCGGAGCCTGAGGGATGAGTTTACAATTGCCAGAGTCGTCGAAACGCCATCCATGATGAAGGCACTCCAACCTCCTGAGTAATCGATCCTTCCTTTGGAGAGCTGAGCCAATCAATGTGGAAACTATCGTTGAACACCTTCCAGGCATTCGCGTTTCGATCCCACCACGTGACGACATCGAGAGCCATCACCGTTTTTGCGTGTGAGATTCTCTTGTCCAGATCACAAACCGACATTACAGGGTACCACTGTGTGAACCAATCGAACTTCTCCCTTTGGCTCTCTATTTCAGTCATGGGCGAGTCAAGAATCGGGTCTGTTGTTGTTGAAACCGTAGACGTGATAAGCTTTGATATATTCGACGAGTCTCCATGAATGAAACGAGGGGGAGAAAAGGGTGAGAGCAGAGTCTAAAATGGGAGAGGAGGGAACTGTGGATTGCATTGGTAGAGGAAGGATAGGGTAAAGGTCTGATTTCAGGGATTGGGGCGTTGGTTTCTGGGTTTCAAAGTGTCTATCCCCTAGGATCTGAATCTCCTTTCTTCTCTAAAATTCTCCACAAGCGGCATAATTGATGTAAGAGACCGGGTAGCAATACTCAACTCGTTTGCTGGGAGGAAGAGGGAAAAGTGGAAGATGAAATTTTTTAATTTAAAAATTAATATTTATTTTTTATTATGTCACATCATCAAATTAACGGTCAAAGGGTTTAGTTGACTGCCACGTAGGATGATTTTAACGGAATTGGACGGGCGGTGGCTATGATGAAACGATTTGTAAAGTTGGTGACGAATAAGAAAGAAAAGTGATCCAAGTGACAAACGTGAAAGATTCGTATAATTAGAGTGACCAAACGTGTAATTTAGCCAATCGAAAGTAATGAATATCCGATCTCAAACTATAGATAATTTTAGCGATGCGAAATGATTAAATTACATTTCAACCAGAATCTTAATACAAATCCCTCTCATTAGCTCTTCATTATAACTTCCGGTAGGATTTCACAATATTATTCAAAACTCCAAACCCTCCACAATATTATTCAAAATTCCACCATAAACGCCTAGCTTCCTCTTTTTCTCATCACCCAAACACAACAGTACCCCCAATCAAATATCCCTCCCTTCCCCTGATCCAGGTACCCATCAAAGGCGATATGTGCGATGATCAGAAAAAGACATTCTAATTTCTTTAATGATGTTACGAACGAGCGAGCCTGGATTGCTCTCGCAGATCATGCTGGTAAGGTGAGGTGTAATGAAACTGGAAAGGCAAATATGGTGAGGTGTCTGCCTAACTGATAACACAAAGCCACGGCACTTAGCACGTGTCCGGTGGCCGCTGCTAGTAGCCAAAGAGTGCCCAAAAATATGATGAATCACTATGTACCCACTTTATTAGTTATATATAACAACCCGAATCGAAAGCGCAATTTGGAGAATAACTGAATTTGTCACAGAGCTATTACCTTCTTCAACATGGACACCAAAGTACATTCAATTCCTCACTTTTGTTCATCATTCATCTCTGTTCATCTTTCTTGTACAGCTCTTAGGTATTTATTGCCTTCTGTTGTGGTTTGAACGTGGCAGGAAAGTGCAGTGGAGACCAAAGTGGAGACTGTAGACCACCGGTCGACAGCTGGGGAAGAAGGCCAAGCTGGGAAAGAGAAGGTCGGCGTGGTCCATCTGCGTAAAAAGGACTCCGGCGAAAGACCAGGCGTGCTGGCGAGTGCCACCGCTGCAGTTTCAAACACCTTCAAGTCTGCCAAGGAAGCCATCATGGGCAAAGGCAAACAGCAGCAGCCAGGCACAACAGACACTCCCCAGTGACTTTCACAAAACCACCCTTTTGTTAATTTGAAGCTCTGTTTTTGTTTGTAATATACTTAAGAAAACAGTTCGATCAGAGTATTGCCTCCAGAATTGTGACCATGAAATTGGGAGCAGAAATACACAATTGATCGGAAACCCAATGAAGAAGATTACAATCCAACCAAAGCACAATAGAGATAGAGAACTTCCTCCCTCCACATTATTGACACACTAACTAACGCGCCCGCTTTAGATCATCAAAGGCGACACATAAGAGAGGGAGACTAATTGATTACTAAGTTACAGAGAGACCCATCCATCAAAACCCCTAAAAAGTTTTGATTTTTAGTTTTACCAGATCCCAACTTCCATGAACCCATCTTCAGTGGCGCACCCTCTGAACATGCCGTTGGCATTGAACCCACACGCTACCTCGCCCTTGTTCGAAACCGCGATCAACCCGGCTTTCCCTTCGTCCAGCCGCTCCTTGATCACGAAGTCCACGGCGGCTTGGAGGCCGAGCCCTTTGTACTCCATCACCGCCGCCACGTCGCGCGCCAGGGTGGCTCGGATGATGGCCTCGCCTTCCCCTGTGCACGACACGCCGCAGAGCTTCCCTGCGTAGGTGCCCGAACCGATCAGCGGCGAGTCTCCGATCCGTCCGATTTTCTTGTTCATCAGGCCGCCGGTTGACGTGGCGGCGGCGCATCGGCCTTGCCTGTCGACCACCGTGCAGCCCACGGTCTCCGGGGCGTAGACGCTGATCGGCAGGCCGTTCATGCGGATTGGGTTGTTTGCTGCTGCTGCTCCAGCGCTGCAGGTGCTTGGCAGCGGGATTCTGTAGTCGAACTGTTCGACAAAATGCCCCACAGAGAGAGGAAACATTTAAATTTCGGGGAGATGTCAGGTCCGGGTTGAAATGATTTGGATTAAAGGAGAGGGTAATCGGTAAGGAAGGAATAATTACCATGATGGAGTTGGCTTCCTTGGCCAATTTCAACATTCCGACGTTTTCCTCCGTGATGAAGTAGTCATTCTCCACCATTTCAACTCCCTGCGATCATATTTTATTCGTTAATCAATTTTCTTAATTAATTGTTGCTATAGATAGTTCGCGCGTGACATCGGAAAAGAAACAAGGGGGAAAAGATCAGTTATTGTAATGAGATTGTTTCCTTTCGGGATTCGATCCGATAGGAAGAGCAGGAAAATGAGTCACCTGCTGCCGGGCAAAGTCCTCGGCGCCGGAGAAGGCGAGGTAAGAATGAGGGGATTTGTCCATGACGAGGCGGGCGAGTGAGACTGGGTTCTTTACGGTGGTAACGCCCGAAACGGCACCGCACCTCCGCTTGGTTCCGTCCATGATGCTGGCTTCCATCTCCACCGTACCTTTCTCCGTTAGGGCAGACCCTCGCCCGGAATTGAACAGGGGATCGCTTTCCAGTTCCCGAACCTGCAACACCACAAAATCATAGGCGATTCACTAAATCATAATGGGTTCATCGCCAGAAAGCCATCACTGCGCATGCAATCGAAAGTCCGGATCTTTTGTTCGACGATAAAATGCTCTGTTTTTCGGAGGGAAAAACAGAGCACTATTAAAGGTAAGAAACAAGGATCCATTTTATGATGGGATTCAATCGGAAAACGATTAATTAGTCTCTTTTTCTTTCTGTCCAGATTGCGAATCAATTAGAGATCAGTTGTGAGGAACCCAGATAAACGAAGAACAAGGAGGGCGGAAACAGGGGAAGAAACATACAACGAGTTCAACGACGTCAATGGCGGGGAGATTAGAGCGGAGAGCAGAGATTCCGAGTTTGAGGCAACGAGTGAGGAGGCGTTTGGCCTCTTCCTGTCGCTGAAGAGGGAGATTTGGGTCCACCCCAGCGCCACCGTGCACTGCAATAGCCCAACCTCCCATTGTTTCTGTTTTTGGAGCTTTGAGTCCCCGAAAACAAAAACAACAAAAAGAAATTGCCTTTCCTCTCTTTTTCTTTGCCCGCCCTCTCTCTTTCTCTCGACTTGCCCTCCGGCGGATCTGATCTCTCTTCCTCTCCCTTTCTCTAATTTGCTTTGGTTGTGTGGTGAAAGGAGTTTGGTTTTGTGGGCTTTATATAGAGGAGCGGGGGATGGAGTAGAGGCGAGATGGGAGCTCCGGGATTGCCAGTTGGGTTCCTCTCGTGCTCGGATTTAATTAGAAATTTGATAATAGAATATGACATAATTTGTTTGCTTTTTATTTTTCTCCCCTTTCTTGGTTTTCGCTGCTCAATGGAGGCTGATGGATTTTGTCATGCTATTAAACTAGATTGCAGCCTAGCCGTTGATTGGATAAATTATATATATGGTATAAAGGATAATAGTAATTGTCCGGCAAAATACAGCTATATATCCACAACTATCAGGTTTGTGACAAATATATCCATAACTATCGAAATACACGAAATATTCATTTTCGTTCACTCCGTCAGTTAACTTGATGACTGGACAGACGGTGGATGCTTAGTTGGCGTGTTTCTGACCCCACTAAATGACGTGGATTAAAAGAGGGAATTTTTTTAGGCAAAATACAGTTGTATATCCACAACTATCAGGTTTGTGACAAATATATCCACAACTATCGATATACACAAAATATCCAAAAATCGGAAGGTTGTGCGACAAATCTATCTACTTTCGTCTGAAACTTGATGACGTGTCAGATGGCGTTAAATTGACTAACAGAATGCTGAATCGATGCCATCTCACCTGCCACAAAAGCCAAAAAGCAACCAAACTTTACACCGTCTGTTAGACCTTGCTGGTGCAGTCTTCTCTGTTGGCGATTTGGTTAGATTCAAGCTTTTTTGTTTGAGATTCAAACTTGGTATCACCATGGCGCCGACTGCATGGAAGCTGTCAAGAGTAAAAGGGAGGCAATGGTTGGGGAGGGATTGTGGCTGGAATCGAAATCTGGGCTTGGGGTAGGGTTATTTGGGGGTGGAGGCATCGATCAGAGGAGGATCAGTGGTTATCGGGCATGTTTCTGGGTTGGATTTTTAGTCTCGCCGTTTGTGGTTTTTTTTATTTTTTCTCTTTTAATCCACGTCATTCAGTGGGGTCAGAAACACGCCAACTAAGCATCCACCGTCTGTACATTCATCAAGTTAACTGACGGAGTTAACGGGGTAGACGGAAATGGATATTTCTTGTATTTCGATAATTGTGGATATATTTGTCACAAAGCTTATAATGGTGGATATATTTGTCACAAACATGATAGTTGTGGATATACAGCTGTATTTTGCCTTTATTCAACTAGCCTATTTGGCATCTACGTGTAAAGTTCGGTTGCTTTTTGGCTTATGTGGCAGGCGAGATGGCATCGATTCAGCATTCCGTTAGTAAATTTAACGTCGTCTGACACGCCGTTATAGTTTCAAACGGAAGTGGATAGATTTGTCACACAACCTTCTGATTTTTGGATATTTCGTGTATTTCGATAGTTGTGGATATCTTTGTCACAAACCTGATAGTTGTAGATATGCAGATGTATTTTGCCTAATTGTCCAAATCAAATGACATTTTTATCATTTATTATGTATCATGGAAGAATCTAAATTATTCAATTACTATTAGTATAAACTGGAAACACACATTATATATATTTATATCCTAATCATTCATGAACAAGGATCTTTAACAAAAGTATAAAAAAAGCTCAAGGACCAATTCCTAAAAAAATTACTAAGAGTGCACTTCAAATTTACTACTTGTACTAAGAAATTACAGCAAAATTTATTTTTCAGAAATTACTACAAAAGTTCTTTTGGGCTTTTTTTTTTTTGATTGCTTCACCATCAAAATCATTTTTTGATTTCTGAAGTTGATTTCTGAATTTGTAAAATGCAAAAAATGAGATTCATTATATAGTAATTTTTTTAAACATTTTTTAGTGGGTATGATATGTTTTTCTCAAATGAATGAGTTGAAAATAATGAAAGAATAGATATTGATTATTACCAAGTGTGTCAATGACATTTAAATTTAACTGTGTGTTTACCTTGGCCATCGAATAACTTTCAAAATAAATTTCTAGTGTTTTTATGGGTTATAGGTATAATATGGCTCTCTACTATACATTTTTCTCAAGCATACCCCTCTACTATATTTTACATCAAAATTGTCTTTCTGCTATATATCTTCTCAAACATGCCCTTCCGTTAAATTTTTCATCAAAAATTGTTAAACTCGGTCAAACCACGGTATCACCAATATGAAATTACAAAATTATACCTAATATTTTATGGAAAAATTAACAATAAAAATTAAATTAAATTAAAACCCAGACCACCATCGCTAAAGCCTCGCAATTGATATTATCTTTTCTTCATAAATGAAAATGGGAAGCCATTGCCACTTCATCTCCACCTCCAAGCATTTTCATTCACGAATAAACAATAATTCAAGCATCATCATTATTATTTGATACCAATGCAAACATATATATAGGTATCACCGCATCAAACAATACAAATAATGATCCGATAAAAAATTGTTTGATTTGCTGATAGTCGTTTCTCGGTCAATTTTATGTAGATTGTGTTTTCTTTGTCATATTTCAGGTCTTAATGCGTAGGGAAGCCTTAGAACGAGTTTCAAGACATTTGGAGGTCAAAACGAGCCAAAAAGTGAAGTCTGTGCAATGTTCACGGGTTGATCTGCCCAATCGTGGGAGTTGGTTGAGAACACCTCAATTGGCTATGGTCAGTTGTATGGTCCACGTCTCCGGATACAACAATTGAACTGGGTTGGATAACTCGAAGAGGGAGTTCAATCAAGTCTAGGATTCTCCGCACTAAAAGTATTGAGTTAATCAATCTAGGATAGTACTCAACATCGATTAGATGAAGGAATTAGGGGGATTCATGCCTAATTGAGTTCCAACCTTGTAATTAATTATAGCAGTGGTTAGAGTTGTTCAGTTAGCTTAGTTTTTTTATGGTAAATACAATATGTTAGCCATAATTATTAAGAAACGGGAAATTATAGCCACAACTATCAAAATACAAATTATTAGCCAAACGTTAACAATTCTGTTTAGATGATTGTGACTTGTGAGCTGACAAAAGTTATGCTGAGGTGAAAGAAATTTTATTATGTGGCAGTCAACAAAAGATGCCACATCAGCCAGTCAAACTAGACAACATATTTATTAATTAACTTTTTAAAATACAAAAAAAAAATCCTCATTTCCCCAATAATCTTACTTTCCCCAAAATGAATTGGGAGCTCATCACGACGATGGCGAATTCAGCAATCCACAAATCTTGGGAGTGTTCTCCATCTTCTTCAAAATCAACTGCGGCATCCTTCTATTCCCCGATCACTCTTCCGAGCTCCCCCAACCACCGTGCCTGGCCTGATCCCGCCCAACAGAAACAATCCCACTGTATCCAGAATCACCGATGCCATCATCTCCCACGGCAACTACTCTGCCATGGTCCTCGACCTCGTATCCAAATTTGCGGCGCCGGAGGTGCTCTGCCGGATCGACGGCAACATCATCGTGTTCGTCCAAGGCCGCCAGGGCTAATTAAGTCGGTCCCATACTGGTACGTTTCTTAACCACCATCACCGCCTCGCCGTCAATGGAGTTTTGGGGATGTCGGGAAAATTTTGCGGGGACCCAAAACGTAGCCGCCGGAGCGGACTCCGCAGAAAAAATCATGTCGCTGAAGATCAAAGAGAAGGATTGGTTGGGTTAAAGCGATAAGATTGATGGTGGGGGTGGCAGATACCCTTCTCCTCATCCTCACCCCCCCCGGCCGCCGTCGACTTTGGGTCTGGTCGAGCAAAGGAGGAGCTTCTCTTTTATTTTAAAAATCATAGAGAAAAATAAATAAAAAATTATAATTGAGCTGGCGCTGATGTGTCGTTTAGCTGTTCAACAAACTGTTAGTGTTAACTGGCTATTAGCCATATTTTGACCAGCAACAATAGTTATGGCTAATAATTTGTATTACGATAGTTGTGCCTATAATTTCCCGCTGCTTTATAGTTCTGACTAATATATTGTATTTACCTTAGTTTTTTGTAATCACTATTCATATTTGGCTAGATAACCAACCATAGTGAAGTAACAATACATCTAGAAACCCTTGGATTCGATAATTGTATTACGTTACTACCCTATGCTACACCGCTCGTTGGTTATGCTTGGCCTACGATTAGGAATGTGTAGTTAGTGCGAGTCACTTTTTCAGCGGCGTTGCCGGGGACTTCTAGGTAATCGGGAAATTTTTTGATTTGTTACTTTATCCGTTTTATTTTATTTTCTTTCTACCTTTGGTTTTGCACTTATTGTATTGTGTTCGTATGTGTTGGCTCACCCTATGCCCTGAAGGGTGGTTTGTGTTTGTTTGATCTTCTTTTTAGTGTTTATGAATTTGTAGCTATTGAATCATGGATCCTTATCACTTCATCCACATGTAGGGGTATCCATCAAGATCCGAGTGTGGTTACCCCGAAGTTTCACGGAAAAATCAAGATAGCAGAAGCCAAGGATTGGGGTTCTATGATCACCCTCTCTTCCATGAATAACAAACATACTCATGAAATATCAAGAAGTCTCTCCATACCAAGAAGATTCCCTGCACAACCTGAAGTGAAGTTCGAATTGGAGTTAACAATCGAAACCTTATTAGCAAGTAACTCATTGAAGCTTGCCATGGAGAAATTTGAAATAAGATGCTCCATCATGAATTTTCAGCCCCTCCCTTCTCCCGATTTAACGCTACGAGATAAGGTTGAGCAAGCTTGTGTACAAATTCGTCTCTCACCATTTAAAGAGGGATATGAGGTTAAAGAGGCGATCAATGACAAGCGTGTGGAGCAAGAGGAAATCACCTTAGACAGCTCCTTTGGTGAGGATGACCAAAAGTTTCTCATTGATGACTCTTATACCTTTCCCCATCCAAGCACAACTTTGAAGACCAAATATCAAAGGTGTTGGAGCAAGATGACGTTATCGAAGTTATTGCTTGGCAACTTGTTATCCAACATGTACGTAGGAAGAGCGAGAAAGGTTGAGAGAAGAGGTTGAGAAGGAAAAAGTAAGCATCAAATAGGAGGAAAATCTTGATTGTTCTCAAGGGGAGGAACAAATCTTGGAAGAATAAAGGTAGGTTG